ATTCTACTTATACGCATTTGTATTGGCATTTATCTGACGATTCTTATCTTACGTTTTTGCTTAATTCCGCACAAATGGAAAGAAATTTTGGCCGTTTAGGAATCGATCCGATACATTTCAATTTTGCTTCACATAGCTGCGCCCCGATAGGCGAGAGATCGGACACCCACAGCAATTGTCTGGGTTGCCTTGATATTTTTATTTAAATTAATTTTAACAACTTCTGGAGTATTAATTGCTTTATGATTCCTGTTGAACAAAGAAATGGCCAACTCTCGAGCAGCTATAAAAGCGATGTGCGCATAGTTTGAACGAGCAGTGATGATATTTAGCTCAGGATCGAGCGGCTTGACACAGATACGCTGAGCCTTTAACAGCATCCTACATCAGCTGTTGATGATATTACCGATACTTAATTTTCACGTTTTTCACGTGTCACATCTGTCTTTTTGAGCTTTTTAGGTCTCTGAATTGAAATTCCCATTTTTTTTATTCGTATATTTAGGATTTATTTGCACTTTTTTAAATTTCTTAAAAATTTTTATGAGCTGTTTTAAGTTCATCTTTAAATTTTACCTCAGAATCCTCCACATATTTATTTTTGATAAGAGATTACCTCAAAATTCTTTCCATATTTACTGCTGATGCACCCAGAAGTGTCCCGAGGATAGCTTTTGCCAAAAGCTCTCATTTGAGAGTTGCTTAAAAGCAAGCTGATGGCGGAGGTATCACTTATTTTTACAAATTTTTCAAGTTTCCTATGCGCCGATTTATTCTCATTATTTTCTTGCATTTTTTATCGCTTGATCTCTCTGTTACAGTTAAGTCATTTAAAAAGTCGATTTGCTTTCCATGGACGCATTGAAGTTTCCATTTTTTTTTTGACTTTTTTCTCCAAAAGATGTGTGTCTGGTCGCTGTTTTTGTGCGGGAAATGATCCCCACAGTTTTCTCAATCTCTTTCGCACTTCCTTATCCACTTCACTTCATGTACCTGCCAATTTTGCTCAGTCTAATCTCCGCCGATCATTGTGCTTTCCGAGCTAATCTTTTATTGCCTTCACTGCTTATGTTTTACTAAACGTGTATTATCATGTTGGCCAAATGAATCTTTGTGTGTTTGTGTGTGTATGTTTCCTTCATCAGCGGTCTTCACCATATTTATACTTTAAGTAATTTTGACGGTCACAAGCTTGTAGACAAGTGACGATAATCTGGTACTGACTGCTAAAAGTGAATTTTGCCATGGTACGGCTAATTCTTCAATGATTCTTCCATGATTTATTTCGATAGTAAATTGTTTAGTAGTGCAAGGGTGGGAGCCGAACTCGCAATCAGCTTGTTGATAAGCAACCCTCGAAAGTGGAAACCATCGACAGCCTTGCTAGCACTTGTTGCTCTGCTCACTTCCATGAATCATCATTTCTCGATAGAAATTGAATACGGAGAGGGTTTTGACTTTGACTGTGCTTCAAATCACGTATTTAGTTGGTTTAATCGGTGAGTATTTATATCCAGAAGTTAGTAAATGGCTGCGTGAGGAGCAACGAAAGCATAGGCGGATATAGGACGGCTTCCAGGAGGGGGTGGGCGACGATTGCGGCTTTTATCGGTGCCGAGCGGGACTGGGGGAGGGGAACTTCTGGGGGGGG